AGCTCACCGCCCAAATCATAACCACTACGCTACCAGAGCTCCTTACATGTATACATACATACATATATGTGTGTGTGTGTATTATCAAGGAAATGGCTTACAATTGCAGAGTCCCAAGTTCCAGTAAAAGAGAAACAGAATGAGTTCCTCTTGCATATATTGGCAGCAGGTGACAGCCCCAAGGATGAGTCTCTTTAATTGATTGGCTCTTTATAGCCACTCATCAGAGTTAACTATGCCTCTGTTACTATGAAACTTTGTAGGTTTCATCAACATGGGAATAAGGACATCTTAGCTGTGAAACTTCTGGAAATCCTGGTCTAATTAAGTTGACATAAAACCCTAACTATTAGAGAGGGTTTCCCTTGTTTGCCCCCGCTGACCCTCTACAGTTTCAAAATATAAAGTCCTTTCCTAGTGAATGATCTCCTTTATGATGTGTACAGGGCAGAGAAGATGAAGTCTTCTTTCCTTGTTTCTAAAAGGCATTTTGACTATACATCCTCCAAGAATGATTTATTTGTTCTGAAAGTCCTGGTACATTCAGCATTCTTAGTCCACATCACAATCCAAATGCATCAATTCCTCTTCCATTATCATTTCCATCACCTTGCTTTCACATGCCTTTTAGGTAGTTGAACCAACCATGTCTTTGGTCAGGCTCACCCTAAACATAAAGGGACATCTTTGCTTCTTAGAACTTTAAAGAAGTCTTTTCCTGCAGATTTTCTCAGTGCAACACCATGTGATTTCTGTTTTCTTTTTGCCATGTGAGTTTTCGACTGTTCCCTATATGGGTATTGATTATTGATCCAAGTAGGATAAAAATCTTGACAATTTTAAGGTGTTCACAATTTATCATGTTATTTATTGGATCAGCTGTGAGGATTTTTATTTTCTTTCTGTTCTGGTGTTACTGATATTGAAGACTACATAGTCATCAAATCTCTGGAAGTTACTTTTAAGTAACTGAAAGTGGCCAAATTAAGGAACTTTGTGGTTCAACCAGTTTCGTTAACTAGAACTTTTTTTCTGATTGACAACTGGGGATGAACAATTTAGTTACTAATTTATGAGGCAAAGGAAAGAAATAGGAGGGGTTGTGTCTGGCCTTGTCCTAAGTAAGTATGACTTGGATATGTCTTATCTAAGTCATAAGGGAAGGGTGATTATTTGCCACACACAGGTTTCCTAAATATAAGGGTGGGGAGATTTCTTTAACCATCACCATTTTCCAGTATCACAGGATTCAGGCAAACTTTTAAATGAATACTCTACTCTTTCTTTCCACCTCATTTGTTCTAAACAAAGTAGGTTGATCACTTTGCAGTTTCCAGAAGTTGAGGGAAGTAGAAAGTTCAGTTAAGATCTGGTTTGTTCTTATCTTGGTGGTGGAGATTCCAGGGCTCATAGGTTAACACAAGATGATTTTTCTCAGACTTCCCACCTGGATGGGCTCTGGGCTTCCACTTTGGCTTTGCTTGGTTTTGCATGTCTCTGGTTCCCAGGTTCACGTATTTGCACAATCCTTGTTTTACTTGGATCCACAATCAATGCTAAAGGAAGCAACTGTGGAGAAATGAAACCAAATGCTGCATTGAGCAAATCTACTGCAAAAGAGTTCTGGAAAATATTAAAAGGAAAGATGTCACTTTGAGGACTAAGGAGTGCCTCTCCCAAATCATGGTATATTCAATAACTTCATATGTGTACAAAAGCTGGACAATGAATAAGGAAGACAGAAAAACTGATGCCTTTGAATTACGGTGTTTTCAGATCATAGAAAATGGAATACACCATGGACTGCCAGAAGATTGACGAAATCTATTTTGGAAGAAGTACAGTCAGCATCCTCCTTGGAATCGAGGACATACACTTTGGACACGTTGTCAGGAGCCACCAGTCCTGATACAGGGCATCATATTTAGTAAAGTAGAGGGTCGATGAAAAATAGGAGGAATCTCATGAATAAATATCTACACAATGGCTATCATAATGAATCAATCATGGCCACAATTATGAGAATCATATAGGTTTAGACAACATTTTGGTGTATTGGACATAGGGTCCTATGAGTTGCAACTAATTTGATGGCACTTAACAGTAGAAATAACAATTATTTTCAGTAAAATAACCTTTGTTATTAAAATATTACTTGATCATAAGAAGACCCAAACTCCTATTTGTCTTTTCATGTTTTGAATTTTTATAAAGTGATATATATGTACATAAATATATAAATATATGAAAGGGCTTGAAAAAGTTTTCAAAATATGTCTATTTTATTTTAATTCCATTTTACACTTTTGAAGCCCCCTCAGATATATCCTTATATACCACTGAATGAAATACACATACATACATGTTTTTCAAATGTAAATTAGAGCCTCTTGTTTAGAATGTTTTGCTGATTGTGGATTGTGGAAGAGAATGTTTTTTATTTTAAAGAATGATATTTCAACCAATTTCTCAACTCTTACTGGGGATTTTATTTTCTAAGTTGAGTTCCACATCTTTCACAGTTAAATAGTCTCCGTTTTTATGATATATTTTTGTCTCCACAACCCATTGCCTATGTAATTTGCTTGTATAATCCTGTCTGTTTTGCATAGATCCTCTTGGTCTCAGTGGCTGCTCAGAGCTTTACAAATATGACCTTTCCTCCCGTCAGTGAGAACTGAGCTGCATCAGTCAGGGCACCTGCACCACGATGATGGCACAGCCCCAGCTCCTCATGGTGTTGCTGCTCTGGGCATCAGGTGAGGGAACGAAAAGCACTAGACTACTATCTTTGTAGGTTAGGAAAAACTGATTTTAGAAGTACAGTGAAATAACAATTGTTTCCCAAACTAATG